AGGAAGACAAGGAACGGCCTCTGGGGGCCAGGTCTGCTCGCAACATTGTAACTCTCAAGTATGTGAATCGCTGCTGCTTTATCTTAGTATCTAATGCTTTATTCCACAGTTTTAGACTGGAGCTCCCCCCAGGCACCCCACATTGTGCCTGTTATGTAACTGCTATTTTGTGTTAAGAAAGTAACAAGGCTTTTAAGTACTGAGAATATTCTGGTTGTATGGAAGAGCTCTTACTGTTAATAGTAACATCACTGTTACACTTGCCCCTCGCCTGCCAAGGAATCCTTGAAGAACAAAGATGGAGTGAAAAGGACACAGAACAAAGGATGCATCCCAGGGGTGGAGTGAAGACACTCTGCAAACAGCTGTGCTGTTTTCCTTGGAAATGTCTGGCACCCTCCGCCCAGTGTGGTGGCCGTGCGTCAAGGGGCCAAGCGCCCAGCCCTGCTGCCGGGTCTCCAGGCACGTCCCAGAGCAGTGCGTGCGTGGCAGGGGCGTGCGGGTCTTCCTGACTTGGTCAACTCCTTAAATGGCAAACTTTTTACTTACTTCCCAGGAGACATAATCCTGTCACCTCACCTGCATTCAAACAGTCATTGTTTCAGCTTTAACACCCAACACTCTGAAAAAACAAAACATGAACAAATGTCAGCCCTGAGCTGCTCTCAGACACTTGGCATGTCCTAAGCACGGCCGACGTCTCCTACCTAGCACAAAACTGGCCCAGAAATGTGAAGTTCGGCCACCTTCACCCCAGTGCATAGAACCCTCAGCTCTTTTGTGGTCTGTGGGCAGAATCATGTGCATCCTTCATGGCCCAGCTTCAGGGACAAGCGTCCACAGAACATGCTTGGCCATGTGGCTGTTCCTTTACTAGTGGCCCCACGGTGATGGTTTATTAGTCTCTTTAATGGTAACTTCTTTCCCCGTTTTAAAAATGTCTTGCCTTCTGTGCTTTTATTGCCCGCCTCTGAGCTTATCTCGCGCACAGCACGGTGCATACTGATAGCTTTGCTTGTGTTCACACGCTTACCAAGAAGTTTTTGGCACCTGCTGTATGCAGGGTACAACCTATGCCTTCTCAATAGGGCACCCAAGTCTGAGATGGCATCTGCTTACCCGTAGTTCAGATTTGATCATTTAGTGCTTTGGCAAAATGCCGTTTAGGAGCTGATAGGCATTTTAAGGAAATACCAAAAAAGAACACAGTACTATCATTAGGGCCTTGTAACTATAAGGCCATTCTGTCAATTTATGAAAAACTTATGTATTAGATTTAACTTGGTTTATTATTGTGTTTGACATGTTTCATATATAAGACAAAAAAATTGAAATGTTCTCATTTTCTGCAGCGTGTGTGGGAACGAGAGCCTGAAGATCAAGTGAGCTGGGGAGAGGACTGTGTTTTAGGGAAAATCTTACTAAATTTTGTGTTTTTTCCCCTCACGTATGGAGAGGACCTAGGACACAAAAGCATTTAATGTTAAAATGGATGCAAAAATTAAATCACTGAAACATTGCTAAGAGAAGTTAAAGATCTAAAGAAGTGGAGAGATCCATCGTGTTTATGTGTAAGAAGGCTCAGCCTTGTTAAGGTGTCAGGTCCACTAAATTGATAGAGTCAGTGCAATTCCAATCCAATTTGCTGGAACAGACAAATGGACTCTGAAACTCGTCTGGAAATGAAAAGGAGTTAGAATAGTCAAAACAACTTTGATGAAGAACAAAGTTGGAGGCCTGATACTACCTGGTAACCAGAGTTGTTACAAAGCAACAGTTACAAAACGACAGTGTATCAGAAGACAGCGTGGTATTAGCATCAAGATTGCCCAATAGATCAATGGATCAGAGGAAAAATGTCCAAAAATAAGCCTGCACACATATGGCAACTGATTTTTGACAAAGGTACGAAGGCAGTTTAGTTACTCTGGGACAATTACCTATCCATTTACATGTTACAGTTGGAACACTTGGATATCCATATGCAAAGAAAAAGAAAAGAACTTCAGTTAGTCCCTCATGTCATACACACAGATTAATGCAAAATAGATCATAACCTAATATAAAACCTACAACCATAACACTTCCAGAAAGGAAAAGGAAAACCCTTGTGACCTTGAGTGAGGCAAAGGTATCTTAGATACAAGCCCAAAAGCATGATCCATGAATGAGCAAATCAATGAACTGGACTTCATCCACATTAAAAGATTCTGTTTTTCAAATGCCATTATGAAAATGAAAAGATAAGCAACAGACTGGGAGAAAGTACAAATCTTATGTTAGAGAAATGATTTGCATACAGAATACATAAATCTCAAAACTCAATAGTAAATAAATAATTTTTAAAATAGGCCAAAGACTTAAATATTCCAATAAAGGAGAGAGATAGATGACAACCACATGAAAAGATAGTCAACATCAGTAGTCATTAGAAGAATGAAAATTAAAACCACAGTGCGGTACTGCCGATACCTACTAGAATGGCTAAAATTTAACATTGTTGGCGAGGATGTGGAGTAACTGGAACCTACATTGCCGGTAAGAATGTAAAATGGTGCAGCCATTTTGGAAATAATTTTGACAGTTTCTTAAAAAAGTTTAACGTATACCTACCATACAATCCAGTCATTCTGGTCTTAATATATATTTTTTTAGTGAAGCCCACATAGAGGTGTGCACAAATTCCCAACAACTTCATCTGTCATAGCCAGACAGTCCAGATGTCCGTGGGCAGGTGAGCAGGTTAAAACGAACAATACCACATCCACAGAATAGACTACTAGTCAGCGGCATAAAGCAGTGGACTGCTGGCACACGTTACAGCAGGGCTGAATCTCCATGTAGTTAGGTTGAGTGAAAGGAGGCAAATTTTCACAAAAATAAAACAGTATACACTGTGATTCCATACATACAAAATTCTATGAAATGCAAACTAATGTAGAGTCACAGAAGAGAGAGCAGGTTGTGGGGGGACAGGGAATGTGGGGGGAAGTGGGAAGCTTAGCCTGAAAGAACAGGAGGATTTTGCGGGGGGCTGGGTATGTTCACTGTCTCTGGTTGGTGACGGATTCCTGGCTATAAATGTATGTCACAGTGTATCAGATTTTACACTTTAATTTTTTCAAGGGTCCCCAAGACCATCCATGTGTGTTCAGTGATTTACTAGGACTCATAGGACCCAGCATAGAGTTGTACTTGCGGCTGAGATTCATTCCAGTGATGCAGTAATGGTACCTAGCCAGGTCGGTGAGGGACAGGTACCCCGGGGAGACATACTGAAGGAAGGGGGGCCACTCACAGCACACCTGCCCTTCAGCAGCAATAGTGTAAGCACAGGCGTACCATGTTCATGTCCAGGGAAGCCACTTAAAATTCAGGGTTAAGGGTTTCGACTGGGGGCTGCTCACTTAGGCAGCCCCTGCCCACCAGTATCTCAGACTCCCCAAAGGAAAATAGGCGTTCAGTGCCTCAGGCAGGCAAAACAACCTAACGGGCATGGGGACTAAAAGCCAGGTTCTTTGATGTCAGCCAAGAGCCAGCCTTACAAGCAGGCCTTTCGGTAGGCGACGGCCTCAGGACTGTTAGCTCCTTGCTGCAGTCAGTCATACCACACTAGAACTTTATAAAAAATTGTCATATAAGGTAGTATGAGCTAAGTTATTGAAAAAGTTAAAGGCTATAAAAAGAGTAATTCAGATTTGTGAAAGGCCACTACAGTGAGGTCTTCATTATCTGGAACACTTCATGCCCTTAAAGCCTCTTTTTGGAGTGAGGTGGGATATTAATAAAAGTAATTTTGGGATGCCTGGCTTATAGGACCTTCCAATTATTTTTACTCTTTAATAATATGACTTTTCATTTGAAGTGCATTTCAAAATCTTTCCCAAAATCTATCCCCACATCTTTTCTTTCTTGCATGAAAACTTCGTTGATAGATATTTTTTAACCATTGGTCAACTGATCATGACCCAATTCTGTAGCAAATAAAATTTAAAGAATGGGTGTTGAAAGTGTAATTCCCTCCACAGCAGAGCCACCCTGGGCAGCTGAAGGTCATCCTGTCCAGGCACACGGCACAGAGGGAATGGAGCAGGGATCTGGCCTGTACTCAACGGCCCTCCACGGGCCCCCACATCAGTGTGTCTGCCCAGGAAACGAGGCGCCTTTCCTAGTGGGCACAAAAGTGCTGAGTGCCTACTGTGGCTCCGCTCAGCACACCTGCTGGGGAAGGTGTCCTAGAAGCTGGTGGTGGTAGGTGGTAGTTTTCCCCAAAGATGCTGCCCTATTGTGCATCTTTCCCCTGAAAGAAATACAGCCAGTGACCTTCAGTAGTGCGTGTCTTTGACCAGAGCCCCACATGGTCCACCCACATGTGCAGGAAGAGGGCCAGCTATGCGAAACTGCCTGCATGAGGCCATTTCCTCTCTCATTTGGCCCAGTTGGCCTTGAAAGGCAGGTGATTTTAGGGTATGTTTTTCTTTTTCTTCCTCTGGAAGATGCTTGGTGTCTGTTCTGTATGTGGATCCCATTATGAACGTCCCCAGGCAAGATTTCTGTGTGTCTGTAATGATAAAAAATTCGGAGGAAGGCGACTCCTGTGGCCCTTCTGAGTGATGTGTGCTGTTCCTGGGTAATAATGAAGTTTCCTGAAGGGGAACTAAACCGTCTCACTTCCAAAGACCCAAGTAGTGTTTGAGACTCAGCTCTGAGACAAATAGAAAATACTTGATAGTCACTCTTAGCTTCAGATAAGTGATGCTCAGCCATTGACACCCTCTTTATTTCTCGTAGGCCTGGAGGCCTGGCTGCGTTCCTGACGGGGCACTTGCCGATGGCGCAGCACTGGCGACAGTCGCGCGTTGGGGTGTAGTCCATGTGCGGGACCCTGCCAGGGGCTGTTCTCCCCTCCCCCTGTGTTTTGTCTGTGCGGCTCATATTCTTTGCCTTCAAGTTCTTTTCCCTAAGGAAACCTCAACCACATCTATTTCCCCTATTTACAGATGCGAACTACACGCAAGGTCTCTGTCTGGCCGGTGGGCCTGGTCGGCGGGCGACGCTATGAACGTCCATTGGTGGAAAATGGCAAAGTCGTTGGCTGGTACACCGGCTGGAGGGCAGACAGGCCTTTCGCCATCGACATGGCAGGTGAGGAGCGCGGGTGGTGATGCGGCAGGTGAGGAGCGCAGCCAGATCGCTCCTGCCGTAGTCCCGATCGTGACCCTGGCCTGGCGGAGGGCGGCCTTGAATAACCACTCTGCGTAAACCCTAGACCAGATTATGTCCAGCAGATGAACTGTTTGACTAAACCTTTGAGATACGCTTTTGGTCAGTTCAAGGAGAAATCAGGTTTTACGGTGACTGGAGTGTTCATTCCATTCCCTTTATCCAGCAAGCGTGTATGTGGCAGGTGTGGGGCTGGGCACTGGGGATTCAGTGGCGCTAGACGTGGCCCCTGCCTCCAGGCCTGGCTGCCTCCTGTCCCTTTGGACCCTCTCTCTACAGCCCAGTGGGTTACGGTATATCACATGCTTACTGAGAAATTTAATAGTGACGTGCAATCAATAGGCTAGTCAGTTTAACACCCATTGGTAACTTTTATGCTTAATGATACATTTAATGGTTAAAATATAAACTTGAATCGGTTTTTTTCAAACATTTATTAACTTTGAGTATAAACTGTCTTTTAAAGTTTTTATTCTCAGACCAACTGAGTTGAATAAGACCTTGTAGACCACAAATTCTAAAATGCTACTTTACCATAAAGTGGCTCATTTTCGGTGGGCTATGTAAAATGGTGCCATGGTAGCTGTGGAGGGATGCAGTTTGAAACCTGAGGCTTAGAGCAAAGGCACACTGGCATCTGTAACTCTGAAGAGGAAGGCAGAAGAGCTTCAAAACTGATCTGGCCGGTCTTCAGCTCTGGGACGCAGCTCTGTCTGTCTGTCTGTCTGTCTGTCTGTCAGTCAGTCAGTCTGTCAACCTGTGCTTGGCCAGTCTTCTGTGTGCTTCCCCGACTGCAGTCAGAATGTCTATGCTCAGAATTCGGATGGGATGAAAGCTGTGTTCTGAACTGGGTTCATGACTTGTGTTCTGACAATACAATAAACTTGAGGGAGCAAGACCGTGAAGCAGCCCAGGAGGGAGGGCCGTTGAGGGTGGGACGGGCCGGCTGTCGCCCTGCACCCGCGGAGATGACAGACAGGGAGGGTCCACTCAGCGCTGAGCACGTGTCCCGAGTGCCAGCTGTACGGGCCTGCTCCGTGGCCCCCGACCCCGAGGCAGCCCGCCCTCTGCCCTTCCCAGGCCGGCCTCCTGCTCCCTGGCCTCTCTGTCCCTCCCCTGCTCGAGCCTCCCCTGGTCCTCAGCTCCTGCGGCCCCGCCGCTGAGCGGGCATCTGCCCGAGCTTCTCCCGATGGGGCCCGGGGCGGTCGGGCAGCTGTCCTCAGGGGCCTCGGGATTATCCAGAGGCTGAATCCCTGGCTCTGCAACTGTAAGACTGACTGTAACGTGTCTTTTGAGACTCGGGTTTCTTGCTGATGGGAGTTGTAACTTCGAGGAGTACATGTGGGGGGTGTTGGGCACAGCCTTCCGCTCCTCTGGGACCCGGTTTCCTCCTAACGCGGCCTTCCTTTCCCACCTCCCCCTGGGGACGCTCAGAGAAGAGCCCGTCCGCGGACTCTAAGCGAGGGCCTGTGCCCGCTGGAGCAGCCGGCTGACGGGTGTCCCACCCCTGACTTTCCCAGAGCCCTGCCTCAGCACAGACTCCCCAGCACGCCTCCTTACGCACAGGAGCCCTGCCAGCTGTCCTGCAGGTAAATGCAGGGTGAGGACGGCTTGGGTGAGTCTTCCTGGATTTGCTATAGCGATTTTAGGGAGCTGATCACTCATCTGGGAAACCCACTATTTTGCATTGATCTCCCCAGAATTTGGATCCAAATAGTGATATCTAAAATTCAAGAAAGGCAGTGGGTTTGTGTATTAGACTTGGCCCATGACAAGATATTTGCTTTTCTTTCACAGCCAGATTCTCTGGGAAACTTTTCTCCATGACATGGCTGATGTTTGGATTTTTCTAAGCATTTCAGTATATATCCAAAACATAAGCTCCATCATAAAATATGAATGATTTTCTTGTTTTGTATTAACTGTCCCTATTTTAAAATAGGAGTAAAATTTCTGTCTAAAAGAACTTCTGAATTATTTTCTTCACACATGAACTTGCTTTGCAAATTAATTTTCAGTAAATTATTGATATTTTTGGAAGCCTTTAAGTGAGGGTGACTTCATAATGGTTCTGATTCTGATCTGGAAGCAGTTTACTCTCATTCTAAAACCTGAAAATTCACAGCTTTGCTTAGATGCCATATAAGGTTCATTCACTGTGGGAAAAGGGAGATAACCCTTTTGGACCTTCCTATAAAAATGGTACTTCCCACCTCATTTTCAAGTTACCCATTACCCGCCCCCCCACACACACACACAAATGTTCAAGCGACAGACTCTCTTGGGCCCCTTCCAGGGGCCAAGCTTAAAGTAACTTCGGTCGCCCCAGGAGGTGTATATTGGTTCAGATTCAGAACCCAAGGCTGAGATACTTTGAATTCTCAGCGTTGTACATATCTTAATCTTAACTCTAGAGGGTGGCCGCCGGGCACTGTGTACCTCTGGTGGCAGCATGCTCAGTTCCCACCAAGTGCAGGGCACATAGTAGGAACTCTAGCCTGGTAAAAATCCAGCCGGGCACACTGTAGTTCAGCTCTAGCACTGACCGCTGTTTGGGGGCACAGTTCCCAGTGAGACTGCCCCACTTCAGACTCCAGCTACACTCAGGGGGTCTCCAAGCCCTCTGTGCTTCTGACCAGGCGGCTGTAAATCTGATGTTCTCTTCAGGTTTGATAATTTCCTAGGACTCACAGAACTTGGGGTAGTGCTGTACTCGTCGTAGTTCCTTTACAAAAGACGCCGTCAGGAAGGAGACGCAGGGTGAGGCCTCTGCTCACAACCTCGGGAGCGCCACCGAGCACTGTGTTCAGAGCTCCTACTGGGGTGTCACGATGACGGTCTGACCGATGAAATTAGGGGCCACAGGATTGAACACCGTCTCCAGCTTCTGTCCGCAGGGGTCAGGAAGACCCGAAGCTCCGACCCCCTAATCATGCCACTGGTTTTTCTGGTAATGGCCCACATCCTGCAGCTGTCCAGGGCCCGCCTCAAGCTCCCTGCCAAGAACTAGGCACAAAGACCAGACGCAATTCGTTTTATTACACCGCAGGCTCAGGGAAGGACACAGTGATGCCTGGGTTCTTGTTCACAGAGTCAAAGAATGAACTTTGCAAACACTCAAGGTAGGAAAGCGAGGGAGAGGCTTACTATTTAGAGATGAAGCGAGAGGACAGGGCTCCTGGTACATGCCAGGAGGGGACAGGAGAGTCTGTGGCTGGGCATTGTTCAGGGTTTATAGCTTTAGGTGTTTAATTATTATTGGTCCTAGCCTCAATGTTGCCTTTTTGTTTTAACCAATCCTGCTGAAAATTGCCTATATTCCTAATTTGTTATTTCTATCCTAAAGAGTTTGTGTGACTCTGATGTTGCTTAATGTTTAACACAGTTTTGATGGGAGTTTCTCTACACATTGTTACATGTGCTGACTGTGACTACCCTGTTTTGCTTCTCCCAGAGGCCCTCACCCTACTCTGTCTAAACCCACAGTCCCTGTCTCAAACTCCCTATCATAAAGGAGAGCGTCTCCCACATCCCCTTTTACTGATGTTTCATCCCTGAAAGCAAAGGGTACGCGCGTGATGGGTCAGGTCACTTTCAGATTGTCTGTGGACTTTGTCATTCCTGATAAAAATGAGATGTGACTGCAATGTGATAAAGGGCTGTTGCTCGTGGGTGGGAGACGGGATGGTCTGTCGTCGTCCTGTGGGCGTGGGCGTGTGGAAGCTCTGGGATCAGGTGGGCTCCCACAGGGGAAGTGTGCAGGGCTGCATCCTTTAAAGCAGCTGCTGGGAGAGGAGCCAGGGAAGGACACAGGGCCCCAGAAGAGCATTTCAGGGCGCACAGGTGGGAAGAAGGTGAACGTGGACCTGGCGGTTAGATGCCACATGTCACGAATGTGGATGTGGGAGGAGGGTGCTTGGCAGGTGGGGGAGTGTGAGAGCCAGACGCTGGCATCACATAGATGGTGGCGGTGAGATGCTTGGCAGCCACGAACAAGGGAAATATGGGAAAATAAAGGGCAGAACCGAAGAGATTAAAGATCAGCAAGACTGAGGAATGTGAGGTTTCCAAGAGAGCAAAGCGGGAGAGGAGCTGGGCCCACGGAAGGAGGGGGAGGGTCCACTGGGGGGGGGGGGTGCTAGGAAGAGGGTGGGTGGGCTCACCGGGGAGTCCCTTCCAGCCCCAAGGTGGGGAGTTCTGACAAGTTCTGACTCTAAGGATGGAGGTGACTGTACGTGGCCCACCCTACTTATACGTGTGTTTCTGTTGGCGCCTAGCTTCTCCAGTCCTTACAGCCTATCACCGTTCCTAGTTGGCAGTAGTTCTAGTGTCTGGAGATGTAAAGGGGCCTTTTTAGCGTAGGATCCGTGATTTGGAAGCAACCTCTAGAAGAAGTGGGGTGGGGGGCACAGGGTGGGGGTGGAGCGCCACTGGCTGGCCAGGGGCAGGGGGCGATTCTTTGCAGAACTGTGGCAGGATGGAGATGGGGGCAAGGTAGAGCAGTTTAAGGGGTGGGGGAATTGCTCCCTCACCCTTCGGTACCAGAGAAGCTGGCGTTTTGAGAGGGAAGCTCTAAGTATTCAGAGTCCCAAAGGAGAGGAGGGGGGATTGTGACCTCGGATGGGCTGGTTCCCCTCCTTCTCCTAGTCCACAGATGGAGTGAGTTGGACACCAAGGCCTGGGGCGTTGGGAGGCACCGGCCACCACACAGTGACAGCAGGGGATGCACAGTGGGCTGCATTTGGCCGACCCGACGCAGCCCTGCCCGGGGACATAGGCCCGCAGGACGCCTGCCCTGTGGGTGTGGTGTCTGGCCCCAGAGAGGGTGGCTGCCATGAGCACACGGCAGATTGTACTGTGGTAGAAAATGAGGTGCACGGGGAGTCTGGGACCCACATGGAGAGAGAGAAGAGAACTGCAGC